GTACAGCAGATTATTATTATATCATTAAGAAGAGGAAAAAATGTGAATTTTTCCACCTTTGGCCCCAAAATGAAATATTTGCCCTTTGGTAGCATTTGTTGCTACACACAGGCAGCAAAATTTAAATCATATCATGTTTTACGTGTTTTAGATCATCTCAAAGTCTTTTCCTCATGTTAAAATCTGTAACCCATTAATTAGGTTATGTAGTCTAGATTCCTTTTTGATTTGAAGACTCTCAGAATGCTGGTTCTGTGAAACAATATCCACATGAAGTTCATCATAGTGGAGCAGCTAAGACTTCATGGCCACAACCATGATTCTTCCAATTTGTTATCACACCATTGCATGTAGCTGGTCAGTTTTTGGATTTTTTTTCCTCTATTGGGAAGGAGGATGTTAGTCTGATGGTTCAAGATTTTACCATTCCTTTGTAATGATCAGACTATTTTTTAAAAAACTTATGCTTGTAATAACTATTCCTCACTGCAGATGTGATGGATCTCCAAAGGCTAATTAATTCCATTTGATTGCAGAGGGCTCTAGAGGATTTTCTTGATAATGTGATAAGGACTTCTCTTGAAAAATACATGTTTTGAAGAAAAAAAATGAATATAAAAAAAATGCAATACAATCAACAGGCTACAAATAAAACTTAGGTATAACTCACAAAATATCTATCTGAAAGAAACAGTTCTGGTGATTTGAGTATATATACTAGTCTTCATTAAGGAAAAATGGAGTGTTTCTGACCATTGTGGCAAGCAGGCAGTTTTTTCCTGAGCTTGATAGACTTTTACATTCTGAGCATTAGCAAACTAAATCCATTCTAATTAAAGTGGATAGTAGCTGCTTACCCAGTCATAAATAGAGCCACTGAACTATATCTTGCGTGCTTCAACCAAAGAGTACACTTACTGATTGAGAAATATCTTTTATTAGGGGGGGTTGTTCATTATTCACCAAAGTGATAAGTGTTAAAAATGTTTTAAGAGTTCTTTTCAGAGTTCTCCCACTATATTCAATTCTCACAAGTTTTTCCCTAGGACTTAAAGGGTATAATTTCTCATGTGTAAAAAAGGATCTGGCAACAAACAACATGATTTTTTAAAAATAATTATTAAATTTTAAAAAGCAGAAAGATGAAACTAACACAAACTAATAATCAAAAAAGAGAATAGAAAGAAAGCCAGAGATAAAGAAAGACAGCAAAAGTACTGGAAAACAGAAAAAAAGAAGAAAAACAGAAATAGAAAAAGCATGATTCCAACTACTTATACAACAGATATAAATGAAACATAAAATAACCTCTTACTCTGAAACTACATCTCAACATACATGTTTTGCATAGTCTGTTAATTTGTCTAATCATCATATCCATGTATCATAATTTCATTTTTTGTTTGCCGCAAAAAGTCCAAAAGGGGCTTCCAATTATCATTAAAGTTAGTCAATGTTTTTTCTCTAAGTAAAACTGTCAATTTCTCCATCAGCTTCACCTTCCATTCTTTCCATTCTTCCATTGTAGGTAGTGTTGAATCTTTCCACCTTTGAGTGTATAAAAGTCTAGCTGTGGTTATCATGTATAAAAACAACTCCATGAGCTTTTTCCAATTGTTTATCCATCAGTCCCAAAAGAAATGTCTCTGCTTTCAGTTGTCTTGAATTACAGTATTCAGTTGTAACAGCACCTTCAAAATCTTCTGAATTAATATACTGTATGTATTTGAGTCCAAAACTTTTTAGCTTAATTACATGTGCACCAAAGATGATAGAAAGTCCCTTCTTGTTCGCATTTCCAACGTATATTTGAAGTCTCTTTATACATTTTTGATAATCTTTCTGGTGACA